AAAAAAAAAAAAAAAAAAAAAAAAAAAAAAAAACATCATTAACTTTTGATTTCTCTGTTTAAACAAGTAACGATATTTTTTAGTTTATTTATACATCTAAATTATGTGTGCACAACAGTATGGTGCCGTTTAACTGGTTGTCTCACAGATATTTTATAGATCATGGTAGTGTAAACAATTTGGCGGGTCATTTGGTTGGAAGTTTTTTCTTTCCTTATCAGAAAAAATTTTTGTAGCTCAAGACGTTCAAGCTTTTTGACCAGAACTGAAGAAGACAGGAAAGAGACAGCCGATAGTTTTGAGCTTCAGTTTAATTTAGCAATCTCAACGATATATGCTTCTAAAAAGTAAAAATAAATAATAGAGAAACTTTTTACTACTGCATTTTAAATGAGTAATACAAAATATTCTAAATTGCTCTTTATAGTGTGAAAGTGTGTAGTAGTGTTATTAGTTGTATAATTCAAGTTTTCTCTCTTCTTCATTTTTTTTCTTTTTACAACGTACAACTCAATAAAAAATGACAGGTCTAAAAAATAAACTTTTGTTGTCGCCATCTGGTAAATTCCTGGCAGAAGAATAAAGAGGAAAAAAGAGAAAAAAAAAAGTAAATAACTCGAGACCTTTAAATAATCGAGCGTCAATTTTTTTATAATTTACTGTAATGATAAAACGCTTCCAAGTGTGCCCTAAGAGTTTCAAATATAAAGCCTACTGTTCTGCAACGACTCATTAATATTCATTTGTACACCAATTTCACTGAAATGTTTCACTATCTTCATTTAAATCCAAAAAATTAACAAATGCAACGGAGAAAAAAGTAATGAAATGCATGAATAACTGAAAAAAGGGTTTTTAACTGTTATTTCGACCAACTGTATCTAAAAATAGAAAAGGAAGAAACGTCTTGATATGATTAAGAAGTGTAATGATGTCAGCTACTCATATTAAATATTCTATCAGCAGAGTCCCTTGGCCTTACGTAGGCATTTAATAGCATAGTCCAGTAATGTACTGTCCACAGCGGTTGTATTTTTCGTCTTTTCTTAAGCTGACGAAAGTTCATCAAGTACGCTGTAAAAGTTATATTATTACGCATCAAACGGAAAGACAAACAATATTTACCCCCAGATTATAGGATGTAAGTGTAACGTCTACCAACAGCGTGTCGAATTATGGCAACAAAAAACTATGTATTTGAAGGCTTGAGCTTAAAGTAGATTTACAGTAGATGGTACTAAAATTATGATATTCTCAGTTCCTCTAATGACCAGTTTATGACAATACAAAAGGCAGTAATACTGTGAATCTATATGCAATTTTTAGCATTGATTTTCAAAATATCTCCCATCTGCACAAACAACTATTTTTTTCAGAAACCGCGAAGTTTTTTTATGTCCTATGTCATCATCAATCGGAGCAAATGCCTTTATTCACTAATTAGATGACGTTATAGTTCAACAGACGGATGTACTGATCACGCATGTATGGTTTTTTACAAATTAAACACTCTGTATTAGTGTTGTAGCAGTAGTAGCATATTAAATGTTCGCAGCTCGTATTCTGTACCGGTAAAACAGCTAAGTTACAGCAGTTGGAACAATGTAGAGCTAAAAAATTGTCATCAGTAGTCGTAGAAATTATTGCCTTCTGTTGTAACGGTTTGCTAAGAACGGCGTAAATAGGCATCATCAACAACATCATTTCATGGAATACGTGCCATAATAGTTCTTTGTTTAAAACTTCCCAATTTCTTGTATCTAAATAATTTTTCTATGCTAATTTTTCCTCTGCTTTCAATCCTTCTCCAGTGCTGTTGTTAATAAATATTGAATTTAGTCACTTGATTACCTCACAAATCACCAAAGTCGTCTAAATTACCATTGAAATGACCAGTTTGGAAAATAAATCAATAAATACTTTACATTTTTAAAGCGTAATGTTTTTTATTTTTCAAAAGAATTTTTGAAGAGCATCCAACACAAAAAATTTAAAAAACCACATAAATGTGAACTTGCCAGCTTTTACACTCCCATTGGCAAATGTTTGCAATTTTAGCAACCGTTCGGCTATAGTGCAATATCTACCAAAACGAAGAAATATAAGATGGTGAAGCAATTTTACAAATCGAATTACCGCCTGTAGTCTAGTCATTACAGTCCTTTTAATCAGCCAAGAATTGCAAAATAATCTGTTAAAAAGATACGGAAAAAACACCGAGATCAGATAATGCGTTATGAGATGCCAGCGTTCGTAACGCTTGTAGAAGATGCCTTGTACAGATTGGCCAAGTGAAAGACCTGGAATACAAAATTTTTAAGCGCTACGAAATATCGAAAGGAAGTAGCGTTTGATAAAGTGCTGGCTACTACTAATTAGTTATTAATAATTATGGAGAAGCAATATTGTAAAAATCAAAATAATGGGTAATTAGTTCTCCTAATTTTCTCAGGCAATGTCCACAAAAAACTCTAACCCAAGTTTGAATCAAGAAATTACCAAAGATGTATTATCGACCACTTAATTAAGGCAAAAATCAAGGGTAACTGCACTATCAAGAAAAGTACAAAAGAAGAGCAAAAATACAGAGATACATACCTTTTGATAAATGAACGCCCCATATTAATGTTCTAACGAGAAGTCGTAGCTCATGGTGAGAACACTCCAAAAACGATGCTACAGGGGTTGGCAGTCCACTAAATACAGTCCTAACTCGCTGAAAGAGAAGTTCTTCTATGTCCTGGTCATATTGTAATGCGTCCAACCGTGGATTCCGCAGAGTTTGTAAAGGCATTGAACTCACTGAACATAAAGTAACATGGAATGTACTAACAGATGCTTTCCTAATTTTTACGTTGAAGCAAAAGTTGAAGACCTGGCAAAAAATAAGTGATTTTTCACAAAATCTTCGTCGCAAGATTTCTGAGGTATATGCTTGATGCATTCGTCCATCTAAGTGAGGAACTAATGAAACAACAATTATCGCTTAACCGATTTGAAAAGTCGAAAGAATATTTTCATGTGACTACGTCTTTTTTCTGCACGTCTAACTTTCCGCCTAAAAAAGACGGAGAAAGAGATATATCTGGCTTAAATGATCCTTCTTATTCTCTAACATCCAAAATGCATTGAATTGTTAATTAACCGCAAGAGTTTTAACCTATAATACGCAAAAACTCATTCTGATCGACACCCGATGTTCCACGTATATACCTCTCTGATCAACTCACCGCATCTCATCTAGCGATAATTGCGGTTCAGGAAGCCAGCCTTTAAGCTATATGCATACTGCTTTTCGGTGTCCTATCCATTTGAGATAATCATAACAGTCAAGTAGAGGCACAGGGTTTCCCGAGGCACTGGTCTGCTAAACTTTCGCAGTAATCTTGTGATGACAGACCAATGTCGCAGGCAACAGCCAACGTTTACACCAACTTCCCGGCCTTGGTACTTATATGTATGTGCGATGCGGGCACCACCGTTAGGAATTCATGGTCCTTTTTAAGATTAAAAAAAACTTTCAATAACACTCTTTCCCTTCTAAACATTTTTCTGAAAGAGCGTTATTTAGGCCGCCGGCCACTAATAGTACACAGTCATGACTTTAAATATCTTTGAAACTCGTACGCTTCTTGTATTATTATTGGAAACCACCCAACGGTGTTTACATCATTTCTTTTTGTCGCTAGACTATCGCGGTTTCGTTATCAAAAAATGTCTTCATCCAAATGTATTTGCGTTTTTTCCATTTTTTGTAAATCAAGATTATTTTGAAAATTATGAAGTGAAATGTTCACAGTTCTTTTGAATTATGAAGGTTTTTTCTTCGCTGTGACATTTTTTGCACCTTTTATCGTCCTTAAGCAGCCACGGATTCTACGGCACTGTTGCAGTTAAACATGCCTATCCTCAAAGATGCTTTTTTGATCGTCAACTTAATTTCACTTTGTTTGTTGACACCGCCTAGTTCATCTATGTTAGTTTCAGATTTGTTTATATATATAGCTTTTGCTGACTTTCTAACCTTCTAATGTTGAAATGTTACTCTGATGTTTTTGCCACTTCACGTCCCGTTCCGCATGCCAGCGAGTGGCGTAATGGGGATATTGCAGACATTTTGTTACTGCGATCCTAAAAACATGAAAGGTTCAGATTTACCATGCGTGCAGCTCCTCTATGCACAGTCCTCATCTTTCTTAACTAACCATTTAGTCTGCACAAAAATGTCTGTATAACTACTGTGTTTCAGATGTGTACGTAGAATTCGACAAATAGCACGAAGTGAGTTTATGCTCTAAAGCTGTCTGCTCTTAGAGCGCCCATATACGAAAAGTGAAGATTAGTTTTACTGTTTACTTTCACTGGTCCTTCAGTTGTTGCTATACAAAACAAGGTAATTATTTTGACTTAATACTCAATTTAGTGGCAGCATTTTAATTAGAAGCAGAAATTTTATAAAAGCTTTCGAGGTTCTTTGTGCTCTCTCTATCTTCGATCAACTTATTCAATCTCCTTATATTTTTTTAATATCAGGGCATAGAAATAAGCCCGTTACTTTCCGACTTCTAGTCTGTTGACAAATTCTATTTCTATTTCTTCGGTTCCGCCACGAAGCAAGTCCTTCCTACATTTGTGGTGAAGTTCCACACTTTATTTTTTCGTTGTTAAGACCACTTCCATATCTATAGAAGATTCATTTCTCTCCATTTTTCATAAGTAAAATACTAGTTACCAGTAGATAGCAGTATCTTCTTTCTTAAAGAGGCGGGAACTGCTGAGGAGGCGGGAAAATCAGATTCCTGATTGCTTCCAAAACTTACCCCATTTTATATGTTTTAAAGATTTCATTCTCCGCTACAGTTCAACTGTAACTTTAGTAAATAACCAAAAGGAAAAGCCAGAGTCAAGAAAGAAATTAAAATAATAGGAATCTTTTTCTGAAATTCTTTTCTTGGACGACAGTAGTTCAGTGCTCTTCAAATTTTTTATGAGAAAGTATAGGCAGCTACAAGCACTGCAACTGAGCTGACGTTGTAACTGGGAGAAATATCCGTTGCTATAGTATTCTATTTGTAATGAAGTCGAAACTTATTCTTTTGTACTCCAAATTAGTGTCCAGATTGGGTTTTAAAAAAACGTGCTTGCTCCAGCGTTTGAAGACTGCGCTCCATTGTAGTCTCAGTTGTTTATACCTGAATGAACTTTGTGGTTTTTGGTCATCAGGTTTTGATCAGAACTAAAATCCTCTTTGTTTAAGGTGATAGGTCTTAACGAGTCATCTTCAGGAGGATTTAAACGGCTTTCTTGCTGCTTTAAATATTTCCAGAGCCCAACGGAAGACTGCGATTGGGACTGCGTCCTAACTGCTTTAGTGAGCCTCACAAGTTTCCGGAATTCCACAGTTGTCAATGTCTTTCCTTACCGCACAAAGAGATATTTGCCCATTTTTGGCCGCGTAGGATACTTTTCTTATTCTCACTGATAGGCTTGCTGGATTTCTTTTAGGAAAGCACACCTAAAACAGTATCTTATCAAAGTTGATATTGCTTTAGGTAGTTTTTTTCACTGGAATTAGTAGAAATAGGTTAGTAACGACTCCAAAAGAAAGTCCAAAGGTAACTAAGTCGTCGAACGAACATTTGTGTTTCTCTTAGGCGTGAAAACTTCGTTGACTAAATGAATGTTGCAATCCAATGTTGACAATGCTCCATCCAAGGCGTGTTAAATAATTGGGATAAGATAGTGAAGTAGATTGCTAACCTGTTACTATTTTAGTTTGTTGGAGAATTTCAAAAGTACACCTTTTTTCATCTATAACTTGTTGGTTCTCGCTGTGAAAAAATGCCTACATTCAGCCGGATGTTAAAGCATCTTTCGCTACTGATTAAATTTCTTTTTTCTAGTCTTCGGAGCGGTCAATTTAAGCGAAGCACAAAGCAACTCAGTACGTGTCAAAACCTACATGATATGGTTTTTTTCAAATTTGAGATCGAAAAACAAAGATTACTTACAAGAGTAATCGCGTAACTGCTTAGACAACCTAGTTGGGAGTGGAGGAAAGGACGTTGTGGTACTCTAAAACAATTTTTCGACGTTGATATAGAAACCACCAAAACTTGTCGTCAGTACCTGCAAAAATTGGATTCTTCTGCTGTACTCAATTGCTAAAAACTGCGTGAATATGCATCATTGATAAAATCATTTCACGAAGTACGTGTCATAATAGTTCCTTGTTTGAAATTGCACAGTTTTTTGCACTTAAATAACCCTTCTACACTAATTTCTTCGAAAAACTATTTTTTTCGCAAACTCAAAGCTTCATTTACAATATCGTGCACTATGTTTAACTTGTTTATGTTTTTGACACTGGAAGTTAACTGTATGTCTATGAGGTGCTCATGTTTTTTGTTTTGAAAAAACAAGATAAACTGTAGCAATTTTCTAGTCAAAACGCACTCACGGAATTTGTAGATAAACTCGAAAATGCGTGCGAAAAATTTTTTGCACTGATTTTGCTATATGTCTAGCAACGTCAGTTTTTTTGTGCCTAAAGAAGCGAACAAGCCAAGTGTTTCTTATTTAGTCCTTGGCTTTTGGCGTAGTAAAAGAGCAGATGTTGAGAGTAATGTTTGGCAATGACTGGTGGAAAGGAAGCTGTGAGGATATCATTTTGAGAAAATCTTCAAAAATTTGTTTTAGCCCTAACGCAGAACAGAACTTGAATGATTATAATACTTCTAAACAGCGCTGTATGCTGCTGTATTTTAGAAAGAATAGCTACACAGCAGCTACCTTTTTTATGCTGTCATTCCATTTATTGTCCAACTTTTCAGGAAGTACTGGAATCACCTGTCCGTTCAAACTGCTCACTAGTGAATTCTTTTTTTTAGGTAATGTTGTTTGTTGGCATTGTTGATGCTGCAACCTGATGACCCTCATAGCGTTCAATATCGCACCGTCGAAGCGATGGAGAGCCGCAGAGATGCTACGAGAATTTTGGATATGGCTGAATAGCTTGAGATTAAGGCGGTTTAGCAGGGTTCTAGTTAAATAGGACCAAGTGCAACTGTTTGCACTGTGCGCCTCGTGTGCGCATGACCTTTGTTAACGTAATCTTTCATTTTTTTAGTTGAGTAAGGCTGGATTTTTTCATTTTTTGAAACGTTGGCTTGCATTTTTCTTTCTGCTTTTGTGTGAGTATGTCCTTTGCCGATGTGGATCCACAAAATAAACAAAATTTTGCTCCTCTCAAAGCGCTAGAGTCCAAATAGTCTCAGAAAAAGTCGGATTTCTCTGAGCTACACAATAATTGACCTCTTGAAAGTTTGGAAAAAAAAAAGTTCAAGTGATGAAGTAATATTACAGGGTTACTTCAGCATCTGCAAAGTTCAGTTTTTTGCGAAAAGAACCGAAAGAAAGTTCGTGGAGAAACGGTATACTTTAATATTTATCGCTCTCAAGTTTGCTATTATGAGGCCTTCTTTGAAAAGACATTGCGTCGGCCCTCCACTAGAAGATCTCAGTTATTCTTAACGTGCGCTGTTCGGAAATTACGTGGTCATTCTTCTTTGTAGTCGTGGATTAACATGTTAATTTAAAAAACATCTTCCTATAACCAAATTTGAAATGTTGCTCAGATATCCAACATTACTTTAGTAGGGTTTTGGTAATTCCTACAATCTTGAGGAATCAGAGCCAATCAGTTTTAAGAGCACTGCTTTACCGTTTTTTGAACTAGCTGGGTTTACGCAACCATTTCCGGTTATTGTCTGATCAGCTGTACTTCGAACATGATAGGAATTAATTTTGAAGTCATGGCTCCTGCCGTAAACTGAGAGAATTCAAACAATTCCTTGTCATTAGCTGCGGTAATTTTTTTATTTTCCAAGTCACAGGGTGTTAATTTTGGAACTGCATTAAGTAAAAGTTTTTATATGCATCTAATGCGATTTTGAGGGCCTTGGTCTTTCAATTACAGGACAATTCATTCGCGGTGTACCTTCGGAGATCTGGTAAGCACGAAATTTGCGCCGCTTCAACAATTTCAACTTCTTGAGCATTCGGTTCCTCGTGCAGTATCTCCAGGCTGTTAAAGGCATTCGCACCTGCTCTTAGATCCTCTCCAACTGTCTTTGTTAAGGTGCTTTACAGAAGATTGTGGATTTCGTACTTCTTTATAAGGCTTTCTTTAACCTTTATGCTTGTTTTCTTTTTTATTTCCTTGGTATTGATAAAGACTGGAGATTCTCAGTCGCAACTATTTCTTGATTCACTGGGACAAGCCAGGCCTAATTTGTGTTGTGAGCTTTTTAAACCACTATTTTAACCGGTTGGCAAACGGAAATTTCAGCACCTTACCGTTCTCATCTGAGGTGCCACTCCTCTTTAGTTTAATTTTTTATAACTCTCTATAATGCAATCTCTTACTCTTGTTCTTGCTGCACACCGCATTTTATTTATTGCAGCTCTAAGAGTTACTAGCGGCCAATAGGATAAGGTGCAAAAAGAGGTGGCTGTTAAGCAGATCTGAACTTTTTTACAAGACATGACAAACGAATTTTGCACAGTTCTATTCCAATTGCTCCTTGCACTTGAGGCTGAGTTCAAAATCCATCCTTCCTATGTTCCAGCGATGTAGTTCTGCAAAAAAGTGACCTATAGTGGGAAACACTTTGGGTCCCTTATTTAAGTCCGTCTCATAATCCTGCTGTTTTTGGCTTAATGCAAAGCAAACAGCTCTGGTCTTTCCTAATATTCACAGCAGGCTGAACGATGTATTGCCTTCCGGTGACTCCCGAATAAGTAAAAACAAAAATTTTACTTCTATCAAATCCCTTAGGCAGTTCAGTGAAAACTCGCTATCTAAAAGTTAAAAGACAAAGATACTTTTAAAAAGAGCGAAAAAAATTGGGTTAAAATGAAGTATAGAGAACATTACGATCAAAAATCAATTGCAAACACAATTGACAACCAGCAAGGGGCTTTTTAGAAAGGGTAAAAACGCAGTCTCACTCTGAAGTATCATAAGACGTAGGTGAAGACAAGCACACCTGATGCGAATCTCAAAGTAGTTCTAGCTTATTTTTACTTTGGCATTTGAAATACAACGAAGAAGTGAAGCAAAAGAATTAGTGGCAACTTCTTGTAGGTTTTAATTTAGTTTATCTAAAATTTGTGACTTCTTTCTAAGCCTGTTCAAGATTTCATATCCCTCCCCCTCAGGCTCCGTTGCCCTCGCAAGGAGAAAAAGTGCAGCTGCCAAATACGGCCTGACCATCAAGCCCAAAACGACTATCAAGTTAGCCACACAAATCAATGAAGTCAAAGCTTCCGGCAAACATCAGGCTCACAGAAGAATTGAAGTCAAAAGTAACAGCTCTTCAACATGCATTTAAGTGATTGAGTACTGCTGCAACAAAAAATTTTATTTACATGATGCGGATTAAGAACAAATCATTTATCAAACTTGTTGGAGTTATAAGCAGAAAGATCATAAAATGAAGCCCGGATAGCCCGACCGCCAAAAAACCGCCCATTTAGATCAACGAATGCCTTGATCGCCTGCGCAACATTTGTAAATTCCACAAAAATCCTCACCGCCTCATCATCGCTTACGTTAAGCAACTAAAAAAGAGGATGTTGCATAAAACAATGAAGGATGTAGAAGGTCAAACCATCGACCACTGAGTACAACTGAACTGAGGAAGAGAAGTTTTAAATAAGACGGGGCAAACAAAATTGAATTATAAAAAACTTTTTAATTATTCATTACCAGTACAAACACGACTGCAGAAACGATAAATACTGCAGATATTCTGCTTTAAAAAAGCTGGTTGTAGAAGGGGGCCAGATACAGAAGCTATGCTGAAATTCCTTGCTTCTAAATGTGCTAAACTTACCCTAAAAATAATTACTTTGTTTACTTGGCCGTACTTCTTCATTTCGTCCTTAACTTCAGGCTCTAACTGGTCATCGATTTCGTCAGCTCCGACCATGTTCTGAAAGGTATGAAAGCAGTAATGTGAAAGGTAAATTAGAGGCTATTACGAAACCAAGATGGAGGGAGCAGGAGGGCGCAAAGAAAGACTAAGACAAAAAAGAATAGCTTTCAAGGAAAAACCAACATCCACAACTTTGCTTTTACTCCTACTTTACCATTTCAATTACTGAAAAATTCCACCCTTCGTCTGCAAGTTCAGATCAAAAGCACGACATATGAGGACCAGTAGCACTTGTAAATATTATTTGGAGATATGTAAATATTATGTAGTTATTAAAACTGCGAACCTGAAGTAGTAAGATACGAGTAGCATTTTTTATAGCTTCAGCGGTGTTTACGGCAGGCACCACTGGTGCAGGGACGGGAATGTTAGGAGGTATTGGAGATTCAGAACCTATAAAAGGCAACTCTATGGAAAGAAACGTTCTAAATGACGTGTTAGTAAAAAAAACAACGGAGAGTACCACGTAGAGTCTGTTCATGCTCATTAACAATGACTCCAGAATTTTTCCCCAGCCTTTCAACTTTCAATGCTGTGCTCATGCCCTGACCTGCTCGGCCTAGACCAGTACCTTCCTTTAAAAAGCATTTTAAAACGAGGGTATTTGCAAGAATGGCTTAAGGGAAATAAAATTATGTCACTTGTAGAATATTTTTAGATAAGTATCGCGAAGGAAGTATTTTGCTTTTTGAAACAATTATAACTTTTTCACTGTAATACAAGTATAAATGAAACTGAAATCTAAAAAGAACAATTTTCTTTCTTAAAAAAAGAAGTTCAAAACACTGCTTTATGAGAAAAAAAATTTTTTTTTTGAAATTTTTGCTCTTAATCAATATACAGATCACATCCTCTACCACTGCCATAAAAACCAACGTAATTATTAAAAACAAACGAACTTTATAACCAAGTTTCGTCATTATATTGGCAGCAACCCCAAGACCTTTCCCAGCTCCACCAAAGGAAGGAGTGAAGGAAGGAGGAGGCATTCCTGTGTTGTCTGAGACCACTGGTAAAGGTTCGACAAAACTATCAGCTTCTACCAACGCTTGTGGAGGAGCAATTGCAGCACCTGCCTTCCTCTTCGCTTCTTCTTCCATGTGTTCTCTGAATTAAGTAATTCATTTAACGAAGAACAAACAAGAAGTGATCGTAATCCTGTCAAAGATGAGACGAACTTATGTAATCTTTCAGCAATTTCTTTCGCAATTTTCTCTTTCGCTCTCCTCTCGTCTAATTTTTTTTTATGCTCTTCGTAATCTGTTGGTGCCGTAGGATTGTATTCATCCTCTACTAAAATTTCGCCGAAAAGGTAAACCTGGAATAGCTGTGAGTAGTTGGGAAAATCAATTCTAAAACTGAGATAACTCCAAGCCATACTTAATTAATCACAAATTTTGAGAATTATGAATTATTAGTCAAAAGAAAGTCAAAAATTAATGAATGCTCTTTTTGAGAAATAAAATAAAAGTAAAGACCTTGTCTTCCTTGAGTGCTTTCGGTATAAAAGATAAAGGTGGGCCATCCCCTATAGGAATGGCTTTGTGAGGCCTTAGAGTTTTTGTTCCAATGTTTCTGCTGCGAGCAGACAAATCGACTACTGGTGCAACAAAATTTCTCTACAAATATTTCATATCACGACTTACACACCTAATCTTTGTGTCCTAACTTGAACGCCAGTTCTAAGCCACGGCCAGAAAGTGAAGTAATGACTTCCATTGAAATGTACACATTCGATCATAATGAATTTTTAGACATATTATCGCT